AAGCACGTAAAAACTGCAAGTAGAAAAAATAGGGACCTGTTTCCATGCGCCTTTGGCATTTAGTCATGCCGGCCACATGACCACCGAGATGTCTTCGGACAGCGCTGGCTCTTTGGCTTTGAAACGGAGATGAGCATCGCCTCCTAGAGTCAGGAACGACTAGCACATATGTGCAAGGGAAACCTTTACCTTTAGCTTTATAAAGTTTTACATGTTATGAGTAAAAGTCTATAGAGATTCTCAGTCATTCAGGTCATGGTTGTCCCAAAAGTGCTTTTTCAGGAGCACTTGTCATGCAAGAATCCTTCCATTCCCCACCATCCAGTCATAGCTAAAGAAGCTTCTTGGGTGAGAAGTGAAAAATCTTCAAAGAAAAAACAAGAAAGTCCAGTTGCCTCCTGAAAAAGCACCTTTGGGACCTGTTATGAGTACAATAAGATTAAGATGAAGTATATAAGCTGTGGTGGCACAATGATTAGAATGCAGCATTTCAGACTAATTTTGCTGATTGTTGGCTGCCAGCAATTTGGCAGTTTGAGTCTCACCGGCTCAAGGTTGACTCAGCTTTCCATCCTTCTGAGGTTGGTAAAATGAGGACAGATTGTTGGGGGTGATATGCTGACTCTGTAAACCACTTAGAGAGGGCTATAAAGCACTATGAAACAGTATATAAGTCTAAGTGCTATTGCTATAAGGGAGTATTAGCATTATGACCTCATGGGGTTGAAATCTGGCAAATCTGTGGCCACTTTAGCACTGCTATGCTGCCACCTGGAAGTTCATTTAATCAGTCTTGCCTAACCCTCCACAGGCCAGGTAGACCAGTCCCACCACTAACTGCCAAAGATCAGGTAGACTAGTCCCATCCTATACCTCTGGAGTCTGGGTAGAATGATCCTGCCGACCACATTATGTTGAAAGAATTAGGAGGTGGTTTGAAAATAATTTCAGAGTCCCATCATTCCTATGACAGCTTTCAATAATACTTTTCTCCCCTTTTGAAAGTGGTTGGCATCATCAGTTCCAAATCACAATCAATGGCTGTGTGTTGTTATGCATATTGAATAATGAACCATGGGAATGAGTTAAAGTAAATAATATTCTAAGAGAAGAATGTCTGTTTGAACAATAGATAGTTGACATAAGGTTGAAGCCAAGAGGCTGAGTTACATCCAAATGAATCAAACAATATTGAGATCAACAATATACAGAGGGCAGATTGATGCACTGTGTTAGGATATGGTGTAAATCTAACAAGTTGTCCAGGCAATATATGTGTTCTATAACTTTAAATGTATTCTGTAACTCTAAGATGTAATGCTGAGTAATTGTACTGCTGAGTCATTGTAATGACTAATGACTGCTGACTGAATGCTGACTGCAATTATCATAATTGTACTGTTGAGTCATTGCACTGCTGACTTCACTTATCTTAAGTGGATAATTAATAGTGTAAACTGTATATAAGGAAGCCGAGCTATAGTTATTGTTGGACCTGCTCTCATCATTGCTTGACTTGCTGCTTGGAACTGTTACTGTTGTGTGTGAAGACGTGGATGTGAAGACGTGGATGGATATGCTACCATCGTGATTTGTTACCAGCGTTGAATTGCTGTTTGTCTTGTAAGACGATATCTGTAACTTCGGACTGATTTGAATGGCTAAAGACTTGGATTGATAAAAAAGACTATGCAATTGTTTTTCACTACAAAGTAAAAGTTTTGTTACACCAGTTTGTATGTATTGTATTCATTGCTCTCAGTACCGTTTCTCTGTGCACTTACTCTGCTGGTTGGTAACACAACAATATCCTTAACACACTGGATGATGATGATGATTTTGGAAACATCACAAGGTGCATCATATTCTCTTCAACATTTGTTGTGGACCAAAACATACGAAAGAATGATGTTGAGATGCCATGATGTATATATATGGAATTATGGCAGTGATTCACTTTTCATTACATTTACATGCAACCCAAACTGGCAATAAATACAATAACATCTTTTTTTGAATTAGCAGCCAAATGATTGGGCAGATTTAATTCTGAGTACTCAACTTGAAGAGAAAGTTGTTCATATACCGGTAGTACCTCAGTGGAACACAAGGTCTCTTTGGTAGGAAGATTGTTTATGTGCAAATTGTGCCAGTGGGGTCTTCCTCATTTGCACTGTCTACTGTGATGAAGCATAGAAGCCGAGATGACAAGTTTATGATACATTTCTGCAAGCTGAAATGCCAGACCCAATGAAGATACAAAGCTCTATAAACTGGTATCAAAGCACATGATCCATGGTCTATATTTCAGCAGAAACTCAGAATGTTGGAAAAATGATACATGCAATAAGAGGTACCCAAAGCCATTTAGTGAGTGTACAACGTGTGGTGATGATTCATATCCAATCTACAAGAAATGGTCTTCAGAAATAGGAGTATTTGAAAGACATTAAGCAGGACAAGAATAAAAACTTTAATTTCTCAATGGGTAGTATTGAAGGTTGTTGTCTTCTCAATGTAAAAAAAAATATGCTCATTTGTCAAATCCATCAAATATGTCAAGTATACCATGAAGGAAAGCATCAGGCAATTTTGCGTTTGAACAGAGAAGATGAAAGATCACACATTCCTTGACAGGCAGATATATTGGGCCCTGTGAAGCTGTTATATAGATACTTGGATTTCAAATTCATGAGAAGGAATCAGCTGCTATTTGTCTTCAAGTGCACCTTCCTCAACAGCATCAAGTATTCTAACCAAGTAATGCTGCTATGCAACAAATAACGATATAGCAAAAACTACTTTGACAGAATTCCTGAATCCTTGCATGCATGATCCATTTGAAAAAACACTGTACTATGTGGATAGTCCAAGATTCTACACTTGACAAATAAGAGTTGGAAAAGAAGGAAGACTGGAAAAAGAGTGGAGGAGTTCTGTAGAATTTTTAAAGCCAGGGTTCTTGGTCGAGAGTATATCATTTCTCCACAAAGTGACAATTTCTATTATTTGAGACTGCTTCTTCATCACATAAAGTGGCCAGTATCTTTTGAATCTCTGAAGATGCATAATGGACATAGTCTTCCATCTTCCAAAGACATCCAATTAAAATACATAAATACATAATTAGTTAAGATTCTAGTTATTTTTCTTGACCATGGAATTCAAGATGCCAGTCTACAGCATTCCAGTTCTGTTAGTAGGAGTACCAGGAATATTGCCACTTTGTTTCATAAAGGCATACATACTAAGGCAGAAGTAAGTATAATAGGTTATTCATTCATCAAATAACTTTTCGAAAGAAATCAACTTTCCCAAATATTCTTTTGTTATGAACATTTTGAAAGCAAGGGACCTTCCAGAAAAATGAATAAGATATCTTGCATATATCCACTATACATTGCTCTTAGAATTGCTCCTAGTGACATGTCTTCCAAAATTAATCCTTCAGCTATTAACAATCTGCTAAGTTCATCAAATTTCATTACTGTAGCTTGGATCAGCCTGGCCATCATGACGTTCATGCACATTAGCCAACCATTCATACCTAATGTGCATACCATACATATCCCTATATACTATTTGAAATACACTGACTGGAATCTAATGCCACTATTGCTACTGATTTTTATTGTATAAATTCTTGTGATTCCATGGACCTGGCACCATTCAATCCTCTCTCACTGTCTGCATATTGATTAGCATATAAATGAAGTAAAATGAAATTGCTCATGAATAAATACAGCTTTCAAAATGAATTAGCTTTATTCCCAAGCTGGTAACTTTCAATATATTTCCTTAGAAATATATGTAATAGTTTATCAGCGACTGCTAGCTACTATTGGCTTACTTTTTGATGATAGGATCAGTAAATTTGAATACAAAGAATGAATCTAAAGAATTGGTTTCAGCAAAGGGAGGTGCAGTCACATAGTTCCTCTCTTTTACACACTCACTCAACACACACACATACACACACACACACACAAACACACACACCCCTAAGAAAAACATGGCTTCAACATCTAAGTCTGAATCAGTAAGTTACCTGAATGGCTTGAAAAACTGAGCAGACTATGTCTAAAGCCAAAAATCTGCCTTATGATAATTATGCTTATTTAAAAGAACAAATACTCTATATATACTGTTCCCAAGCACCATGTTCTAAGATATTACAACTAATCAACTGTTAAAGAACAAAAGGGAAAGAAAACCACAAGTTTTTGACTGCATCCTTTTATAACGATTACAGTAAAGAATAACATTATTATAACTTCTCTATGAAATTGGTTCATTTTATCTTCTTTTCACAGGTAGGGCAAGGATTCCTCTTTCCTTTTTAATGCCTTGCCATTCAAGCAGACTGTGCCAATTCAGGAATGATCTACTGCATGCTTAGAGTGAGAAAAACACCTAAAAGAAACAGAAACTTGCTAGATAAGTTTCCTGTCTACTTCATTCCAATTCCAAAGCAGTTTACTGAGACTCCAAGTGACTTGGAAGTAATTTCCTACTAAAATTGTGTGTGTGTGGGGGGGGATTTTTAAGAAAAGGGTGTGTGTGTGTGTGATGGTGGCAGAAGCTTAAAAAGCCAAGACTTAAAAAAAAACCCTCTTTGCTAACATCAGAAAAGAATTTACAGAAGAATCAGAATTTTTAAATAATTTTCTTAAGTTAATTATGGAATTAAATCAGAATTTAATTTTAAATTTTACACTATCTACAAACTAGATATATTTTTTTTAATTTATCACAATGATTTTATATATGAAGACAAATAAATATTTCCAGACTATTATAAGGTAGATATTTCATAATATTCTCATTTTTTCCTATATTTATTATGGGGGGAAATCTTGAGATTCTTTTTTTACAACACATTTTTCCAAAACAAAATCTATGTTTAGCAATGCTAATCATTTTTCTAAGATCCATTATGAAGAAATAGTTCAGAAAAACACATGAATGCTTTATCTACTGGGAGGAAAGTTTATGTTTACCTGATTTGTTAGACACCCATATAATTGCCTCTGATGAGATGTGGCTTGTATTTCCTACTGCAATTGTTAATGGAATCTGCCACAAGTAGCTGCAAGACAAAGGAGCGGGTTCTAAGAATAAAAATACTGAAATGATTCTTCTCACTCAACAGCAATCAGGGATTATATCAAAGTTATCAAACATGTTCAATAAGAGAGCAAATATTTTGATTCTAACATGTTACCTTGTTTCTAAAATCAATTTGTGAATAGCAACAAAGTAGTAAGACTTCTTCAGCTTCCTTTTAAAAAACAATGTACTACCATTGAATGATAATTTCTCATAAAATAAAATAAGAAAACAGAAAAGACAATAACTAATACAACAGCCCCTCCCCATAAGAGTAATTTAAGGGGAACAGTTTTGGTTTCAGTAACAATACGCCTTTTTCTTAATCCTATCATTAAAAATTTCCTGACAAAATCCCTCTGTAATTACTCATATATCAGTACAGGTAGTTCTCGACTTACAACAGTTCATTTAGTGACAATTCAAAGTTACAACAGCACTGAAAGAAGTGGCTTATGATTGTTTTTCACAGTTACAACCTTTGCAGCATCCCTATGGTCATGTGATCAAAATTCAGATGCTTGGAAACTGGTTCATATTTATGACCATTGCTTTGTCCCCAGGTCATGTGATCACCTTTTGTGACCGTCTGATAAGCAAAGTCAATGGGAAGCCAGATTCACTTAACAACGTGTTACTAACTTATCAACTGCACTAATTCATCTAACAACTGTGGCAAGAAAGGTCGTAAAATAGGGCAAAACTCAATGAATGTCTCACTTAAGAGAAATTTTGGGCTCAATTATGGATGCAAGTCAAGGACTACTTTTAATCAAGTATTTTAAGTTTGTAGACATTTTTCACATTGATAGCATACTGAAGACATCAAAGTGAACAATAAAATATAAACAAAGCAAAAATAAACCACCCTTTTCCAAAATTGCTGCAACAAAATACATTTTGATATAATTAACTGTTGAACAGATAATGCAATTTGCACATTTTGATTTTTTACTTAACTGAAATCTTTTGAAAAAAAATTGATGTCCTTTTGAAGTTTATATGACATTCTAATTGCAGAGTGAAGGGAATAACATATGGTGGCAGAATTGTATGGGGAAAAATTCTAGGAAAAAAATGCTCCTTTTTCTGTTTTTGATAGTCTCTTTTATGTTTATTTTGTTTACGTATCAGGCTGCCTATGAAGGACAGTTGACTTTTCCTTCAGGCCTGAAGGGCCAATAATTTTTTTAAAAAAAGACACATGAAATAAAGTCAAGGATCACAAGTGACCCTTAGAACTGCAGGTTGCATATTTCTTAAGAATCAATAGTAAACAGTTACATAACCACATTGATAGATTATTATGTTTAAGTATTAGGATCAGTCCAAACCAAATATAGTGTGAATGTAACACTCAAAGAATGGCAAAGTCAGTGAGTGTCACTGTGTCATATGAATAAAAACATTCACACACACACACCCCTCTCTCTCTCACACACAAACTTTTATTGAGAGGCTATGAACCTGCAATGGTTTGGTTTGCAGTGGATACCTAAATGAAAACATTCTTTTACAAATGTTATATGCAAGACAGCTACTAAACGTAGACTGAATGAAGGAATGATAAAAGTGAAATATGCTGAAAGCTGAATTTTACAGCATTATGCATGATGACTAGACTACACAGCTGGGCATATGCATGATGCTGATAGTTGGGGTAATTAATTTTAGGCTTTCATGTGTATTGTGTATTATATAAGTTATTTATGAACAGGTTCCACTGACTAGTGAAGAATTAATAAACTTCACCACATTTTGTTTTCAAGTATTCAATATACCAATGAAATTAGTGGCAGCATTTTCTAAAGAATACTGCACTGTGCTGTAACAAATTAAATTAGTTACCTTTACTGTTTCCTCTTCTATTTTTAAAAGTTTAACATTTGCATTTAATTCATTATTTTCATATTTTTTACTAATAATTAAATGTTCATTGCTACAATTGAACAATTTTGCACAAAGCTGTAAGCATATTTCAGCTGTAGAAATAAGCAATTCAGGTAAACTTGTATCCTTATATGTGTAAAAGACTTAATTAATTCAGTTGAGACTTAGGTTATCAAAGCCATCTGTAATTCACCCAGAACTGATTCCTAAAATGTTTTTGCTGTCAGAATTAGTTTTTCTTTTCAAACTGTTCCTCTCTGTACTTTTTCATTCCTCTCAGCCTCCTTCTTACCTTTCCTTCAATCTCTATACTTATTAGAAAACACATTCCCACACAAATTTCCATATTTAATATAAACATGACAATAAGCCTACACAAAAATCAATAACATAAGATTTTAGAATACACTGAAAAACAGAATTATAAATATTAAATTTTCCAAGTTTAAAACAATAACAGTTGCATTTATTTTTTATAAAAAAAATAAAAATATATTTTTTATTACAGTAGTGCCCATCAGTAACAGATTAATTAAAACTTATTATAAAACTGCATTAACTTTTATAGGTAAGATTATTTTAAATTAATTTTTCTAAAGATAAATTATATTCACTTGGAACTATAGGACATATTTCCTCTTATTCCCTTGTTACAATTTTTTCCTATCTATTCAGCCTGGGAAAGCTGAAGAATTACTGTAAAATGAAAGCAATCATGGGCCTGGTCAACATTAATCCAGAAAAGATGGAGTTATTGTATGTCAAGAAAACAATTTTACTAGGAAAATAGTACTGTATTATTAATACGGTAATATAGTGTTCCCCTTGAATAACTAAGTTTTTTAGGGAATTCTCCTGGTTTCACTGTCAGTAGGAAATGCTAATTAGACAGACACATTTAGGAGTACTTTTTAATAACTTATGCAACACTATGATGTACAACACAACACTATGCCAATGTAACACTCTCTGGATCCTCAATATCAACATATATTGTGCTATTTTTTTCTAAAAAATTATACAAGGCCAGGCAGCCTGAGTATTTTGAAATTCTGCATAGATTTGAAGACCTAGGAATATTCTATGTATTATCTAATTGGCTCCAGGAAGTCTGTCTACTGTCATTCCTGAGTTTCTTGACAAACTGAAGTGACACATGATGTATCTTTTTTCAGTTAATATCTTAATTGATATAACCTGTTAACATTTATCCAATGTAGGGCCTATTGTCTTTTTTAATACTAGAACCTATTGGAATATGGCTGGTTACTGGCGCAGAGTGCGGCCGCGCGGGTGGTAATGGGAGCGACATGGCGCTCCCATGTAACACCTCTCCTGCGCGAGCTGCACTGGCTCCCGGTGGTCTTCCGGGTGCGCTTCAAGGTTTTGGTTACCACCTTTAAAGCGCTCCATGGCTTAGGGCCTGGTTATTTACGGGACCGCCTACTACCACCAATAGCCTCCCACCGGCCAGTACGCTCTCATAGAGAGGGACTCCTCTGGGTGCCGTCAGCCAAACAGTGTCGACTGGCGGCCCCTAGGGGGAGAGCCTTCTCTGTGGGGGCACCTACCATCTGGAATGAGCTCCCCCCGGAGATACGGAGGATCCCAGATCTGCGCTCCTTCCGCCGTGCTGTGAAGACCTTTTTATTCCATCAAGCGGGCTTGGCCTGATCTCTTCCCTTTTTAAATACGTAAATTTTAATCTGTTTTTAAATTATTGGGGTATTTTAATTTGTCTGGGCCAAATAATTTAATTTGATTTTATCGGGTTTTTAAATTTTGTGTATTTATGTATTTTATTTTTGGCTGTTCACCGCCCTGAGTCCTTCGGGAGTAGGGCGGTATACAAATGAAATAAACTAAACTAAGCTAACTAACTGGTACCAAAAAAGAAAAAAAAATGGTACAGGAAATGCAAGAATCATGATCAAGGCAAACTTAATGTCGAAGTAAAAATGTTAGAAATGAATAACTTCTAGGAAATCAAAAAACTGAAATGAATTGGAATGAGTTACTTCATATTAGAGAAGTAGAGATGGAATAATCATCATTGTTAAAAAAGAGTATTTATGTCCATAGATACTTAGAACATAGAAAAACAGGGTTGGAAGGGAACTTGGAGGTCTTCTAGTCCAACCTCCTGCCCGTGACAGGTGATCCTATACTATTCTGGACTTTCTTTGGGATTGATGAGATGGATACACATAATCATAGGGAAAAAATAACAGAATAACAGAACAGAATAATGCAGTTGGAAGGAATCCTGGAGGTCCTCCAGTGCAAGCCCCCACCCAAGCAGGAGACCATTTCAGACAAGTGGTTGCCCAGTCTCTTCTTAAAACCAACCTGTTCCACTGGTTAATTTATTTCATTGTCAGGAAATTTCTCCTTAGTTCTAGGTTGGTCCTCTCCTCTCCCCCCATTGCTTCTTGTCCTGCCTTTAGATGCTTTAGAGAACAGGTTGACTCCCTCTTCTTTGTGACAACCACTGAGATATCAGAACACTGCTATCATGTCACCCCTAGTCCTTTTCATTAAACTAGACATACCAATTCCTGCAACCATTATTCATATGTTTTAGCCCCCAGTCCCCTGATCATCTTTGTTGCTCTTCTCTACACTCTTTTTAGCATATAAACACACTTTTTGTATTGTGGTATTGCCTTACCAAGACATTATAAACACTTCACATGACCTTGATTCATGTGAAGTGGCTACAGCACACTGCTGGCTGGGAAGACCTAGTCACCACAAACCTTAATGGAAAATGTGTAATAATGATCTTGAATTGGTGTCAATTTTGGCATAATTTTTCAAGGCTCCAAAGCTTGGCAGAAAGAAATAGAGCCATTCTGCCAAAGTCATCAACTGTGTCAAGGCAATTTTGTGCTTTATCCAGTCCAAATGGGGCAGATGTATACCTGTCACCATCAAGACATAGTCATGTAATCCTAAAATATCTTATATCAAAATATCAACCTAGGACAACATTGGCTTTTTGGCGGTTGCAACACACTGCTGGCTCATATTTATGTGCTTCTCTACTAGGACTCCTAGATCCCTTTCACAGTTATTGCTATTGACCCA